CCTGCTCGATGACAACATTTGAAACGGTACTGCGAAGTTTTAAGTCAAAACAGATTGCTGGACAAGCAAGGAACAACCATCCCTCACTTCAGAGCAGCTGAGCTTGGCAAATGACTCCCACAAAGTCCCCTATAAGGGATCCAGGCAACAAGCACTCACTTCTCAGAGCTTCAGTGCTAGGTTATGTATGGAAGTAACCTTGTCAGGGCTCTTCTGTTGCATCAAGAAGCTCAAGGAAAGGCAACTTTATTTGCCAAAATGGGTTCATAAAGATGAAACTGAAGATTCATAAAACAGCATTCAATGGAAAAGACACTGAAAATGTCACCTCCTAACAACATGCAACAACATGTGGCATCAAGTGAAACAGCTCAATGGTTTTCTTTTTTTTTCAATTTGTGGGCTAGTTAACACCTTCCTGTGGAAATGCTGATTTCTCTGCTGAGAATTTAACCTTGCTCAAAACTTTGCCTAACTGCCCTTTGCAGACCTCTTAGGCGTAGTCCATGAAGCTCTGCAGGCTACAGGTGGAAAATACCTTCTGAGAGTCATGTCACTGTGTACACACTAGTATGGAAACAGCCTGTGTATACTTTGCATTCTAACAGGAGGCATGACTGGAAAGCAAACACTGTGTTGTAGAACAACGAAAAAAAAATTGTGACAGACGAATGCCAGGGAAATTTACCAACCTGCACCCTGTTTGAGAAGCTCTGCTGCTGAGTTTGCAGCAGTCTGTGGAGACGTTTCTGCTATCTCCTCCAAGGGATCTGCAAACAGAAAACACCATCCATGTTTTAATTATACTTGAATAGCCAAACCAATGCATATTGACAAGTTTAAGTCTAGCTCTTGCAATTGTGATCTCGTGTACTGGTCAACTCTTGGCCAGAAACAATAAGCAATCTTGTATCTGCAAGAGTAAGCACTCATGCTACATGTTTTTTCTTGTTACATTTTTCCCCTCCCAGTGCTACAGGAGAGGTGCTTAATCCTTTACATCCAGACAGCAAAAGATGTAACTATGTATTGCTGAAGGGATACATGAAACTCATTAATCACCATTAAAAAAAAAAAAAAAAATTGGACCATGTCAAGATTCCAAAATAAATCCAGTAATTTCATGGCAATATATTTGTGCAGGAAAAGACAAATATTCTGGTCCAGTGCCTCTGTCAGAACAGAAGGAACTTACCATTTTAGGCGAGGAGGATAAGGAGAACAATCCCCCACACCACGCTGGTTTCCCATATAAAGAGATCTCTGGTCACATCCACCATAGCAGGTTTTTGTGCTAAAATGGTTTCATTAATACATTTGCATAATTCAAGAGCTATTTTTGAGCACTGACATATGGCCTTTACGAAAAGTTTAAAGAGTTCAGTGGAAAACCACAAGAATGTTTAACATTTCAATAATACATCTGGTGTTAACTTTGTGTGAGAATAAATAGGCAACAGACTTACGGGGCAAGAGCTGCCTAACTGCAATTTGCTGTTGTCCTACAGTGGTTCAAGAAGTTGTCAAAACCAAAATTAAAAGTGGAGCCCAATGATGCAACACAAGCTCTTCAATCATTTACTTAAACAATATTTGGACCTCTGTGAGCTGCTGTTTTTTTTCCTGTCAGCCTCATACTCAGGGCACCTGCTGTTCTTTATCTATCTTGCTTTCCCTAGACATTTTGCCACTCAGACCTGGAGTGGATACATCTAACCATACAAGGGCATAATTTAATATCTGAGAAATGATTTCTTTTTTTTTTTCTCTAAATGCTGGATTGCTGTGCTCATTTCCATGACTCATATATGTTTATGACTGAAACATCATGGTACTAGTCTGCTCACAACTGCAGCTTGGATGAGAGCCTGCAGCAACACTGAAGATATACTTCAAAAATGCAGCAGCCTTCCCCATGCTCTCTTGCTTGAGTCTTGACTTCTGACATGTTCATCTGCCTTTAGACATTGTCACTTTGAAGCAGAACCTTGGCTGGGACCTACCTCTGCCCGGGATAAGCAGCTTGCAGGGCAGCGCCAGGGGAGTGATGGAGTGCTGATACACCAGGGCTGTCAAACTGCCTGCCGGCAGAAGAGCAACAGGACATGTAGGATTAATTTAGTGGGCAAAAACAATGTTGAAGAGTTATGCTATGCTAAACAAAATAAATATCTTTGCTTCCAATGTTTAAAGTGCAAAGAGGACAAAAAAATACTAACACGTGTGTTACTTTTAATTTCATTTGACACTCTTAAAGTGTGCTACATTAGAGGTAGTAATACCTTGTGAAGAAGGCAAGAGCACAAGGGGTTGAGGCTATGTGTAGGCAGTGAAAGACCTAGCATTTCTGCCTTTTCATCATGTTTCCACTGTCTGTGTTTGTTAGTCTATATGTACCTCTATTTTGTGCTTTTTAAAATATAAGAGATGGCCTAGAGAGAACCTCCCCTAGTCAATACAATGCTGACATACGTAACTGTCTCTTTTAAGTTATTCTTCTTGCCTTAAAATTGATTGTTCATTTCCACTTTTCTAATCTGGATCCTGTTTCAATTATGGCAGTCACCATAATCATGATGAACCATATTTTGAGGAAGTGAATGGACTCATCTATTTGTACAAAAAGTTGCATTTACTGTAATGTACTGTAATTAGTTACATTCGCATTATGTACAAAAACTTTGCAAAAAGTTTGCAGTGGAATTCACTTGCAAATATTGAATGCTCTATCATGGTTCACATAAACTTATTTTTTACAGCCCATCAAAAGTTGCTTTAAAATGGGAAGTAATCCACATCTGTAAGGGTCTTGTTGACATTTATACTATTAGTGCTTCAATTTTGCAAATGTGTGATGCTACTTCCTACCAAGTGAAGCAGTTTGAGGTCATACACATTTAAAGATAAGGACATGCTCACACAAATGAGTAGTAGGGTTAGTTATGCACCATAAACAGATACTTCAAAATGAAGGTAATACTGAGCTAAAACCTCTGATTTGAAATATCTCTCAAGTCAAACACTGACAAAATTTAATCTATCTACCTTATTTTGAACAGAATTTGCCATGCTTTTATGGCAGAAGACCTTTTCACGTGATGTGCTTTTGTTGCAATACATTATGTATCCTGACACAATACAATGCGCTTTTTACCAAATGAAAAAATATACCACACATTCTACTCAGGAGTCATTTTAGCTTGTTATCTACAGGCTAAATATAGCAAAAAGACCAAATCAGCAGAAGATCCTGAAGAAATAAAGCCACCAACAGTCATGTAGTTGAGCTCTGTGCCACAGCTGTGCACTGTAGCTTGAAACTTGCTCCTCTTTACTAGAGTGCACTGCAGAGATACTTAGGTAAACGTGGAGAAAGCTGCTATTACAATCATCTCAATATGGGTTCCTAAAGAAATCTTCAAGACTTAAGCAAAATATTTTCTAATTTCCACTCAACTCTACAAAGCAAATACAAAATATGTCCATTTTCTGTATCTTTGTGATGCACAATACTTACCAAAATATGGTTCATTTGGGCATCCTTTCAAGCGCACCCCCTTGTGAGTGCATTCAATCAGAAAATGCCTTACAAGCTCATTTGACAAATCTCCAACTGTTGAAAAAAGAATAAGAAAGTGCCTGAAGAGAATCAATGAACAGACAAGTCTCACAAATAAGCAGATCTTTATGAGGCAACTTTCCACATTATCACTGAATGTTTTATAGACAGCAGGCAAAAAAAAACGTTAGAGTTGTTCTGCTGCAAGATAACAAGCTGGTGAAAGGCTAGTCTGTAAAACCCCAGATAACCAGAGACAAGCATTGTATAAACAGAAGTAACTGGCATGTAGATGTGCAGAGGTGCCTAGAATATCCCAACTAGAGATAGGAATAAAAATCTGGAAAACAAAGCATTAGAAATTCTGGTGCACTTGCCAATTAGAAGAATTTGTATGCAGTGTGACAACAAGGGCTAAAATTATGGTAAAATACTAAAAATTTCTGATGACAGGACAGAAAATTGCTCACAGAAGTTTTCCAGATCAAAAGAATGAAAGATCTAGTTGCACTAAGGCATTGCTGCCAAGTCTGTTGTTGAATTTGTAACTTTTAAAATGTTTGCAGTCTTACTATAAACCTTTGCTCCTAGAAACAAGTAATTACATGAGATTCAGTTTTCTGCAGCTTGCTAGATCTTTAAAGAAAATTTATACCCCTCAAGGCTCTAGGACAAATCTTTAAACTATAAGCTGGGAGATAACATAATGAGGAGATACAAAGTCTGTGAGGCAAATAAAAATTCCCTTGAGTTTTAGCATTTTTATAAGTACACACATGTGCATATAATTAAGACAAAATCATTATTTCTCCAAAGGTTTGTTCACAGTATTTCACGCCTGACTGCAAATGGGAGCACGTTCCAAGTAACGAAAGTTAACCCATAGCAATAGGCAAAGCTGCCTTAACATTCAAACCTCTACTGAAGACCTGTAAACACTCTTTTTCAGTCTGATTTTATCAGCCACAGCCCAGAGGACATGTGACATCAAGGGGCAATACACATGAACACATCAGCCTAGACAAGAGGAATTTCTTTGTAAAGCAAATATTGCAAAGTTCACCTTGTCATGCATCTTGCCCTTAAGTTTGCCCTTATGCTCTCACAACACTAAAAATACATGAATAAAAGGATATGTGAGAAGGAGAAGCCTTGAACAAGAAGTTGTGCATAAGATGAAACAAACTTGTGCTCTTCAGGAAGAATAAGCAGGAATTAAAGAACTTGGTATCACAAAGCAAAAAGTGGAGGAATGCCACAGTCCTGCATAACATCTTCTATTGCTGTACTCAGTGGCAGCCACATAACCAACTGACTCTTAAAGCTGATAAAGTTTGGATATTCATGCCTTCCTGAACTTCACTGGTTCCAATGAGAAAAAAAAAGATATTAAATAAATGCACCTACAATGACTGCCATTTGCCTCCTTATTGATGCTATCCTCGGTACACTTTTATTGCCTACTTAAAACCAGACATTATGCTGGTTTCTGCTGATGCTTCTGGACAATAAAAAGAAGGATTTAATGGCAACTTTTTTTTTTAATTAGAAATTGTCTCGATATTCCAAGTTAAGTTAAGCTTACAGAATCTGAAAGTGCTATCATAATTGAGGCAGACTGCTAACCTTGCTCCAGGGTGAGCACAGTGATCTTTGAAAAGAAGAACAATGGATAAAATTGCACATCTACAAACAGAGCACTACGATACTTTCCTGTCATCTCAGTTCCTTACCTCACCAGACAACATACACCAATGGAACATAATAAGCTTTGCCAAAGGAAAACAGTAGCAGTGAAAACTACCCCACTGCCCTGGCAGTAGCACAAATGGAGCCATGGACCCTACTGATGCTTCCTTCTAAGTTTCCAAACACTGATAAATGCTTTCTACGTGCTCTTTTCATTTTCCCTTTCACAGCTAACAAACCCAAATTATACCCAGAGGCAATGGAGTTGGGAGAATAAGTCTATCCCCTTCTTCCTGTTAAACAACTATTATTTTTCCCTAGGGATTTATTTCTAAAATAAAACTGTCTCAAAACAAAACCCTGGGGTTAAGAATATTCAACATTCCAGCCAAGTGAAAACTTTACACGATAGTATTTGGATCAAACATAGAATTCCAGTTGCTAGTGATGATCCATTACTGAGATGACATTGGTTTTCCATTAGTGGATAAGGCACAGTATATGAGGAGTCACAATGTGTATGCATTTACAACTAGTTGTGAAACTATCAAATACCATTAACTTCCTAGCCAGTCACACTCAACAAGATACTGCTGCAAGAAACCAAATGGAGCCCTTGATTCAAACAACTCTTACTGGAGGAGGAGAAGATCCCCCCAGATTACTTCACAGTGATTAGGACACCCCATTGTGTGTGCATGGTTAAATAGTAGGGAGAAGGCGTACAGTACCTTTCTTGTTCAACTGTATCACGGAAGGAGGTGGTGTGGCAACTTTCATAGCTAGCCCGTAGGAAGGAGTGACTGTCTCGAACAATGAATGACCCAGGCTCCTTGTCCTTGAGAACAGCGATGGCTGCAAAGGAGGCAGGGAGAAAAGAGAGAAAAACATTTCCAGAGTCACACACACAAAGAAAACTTCAGTTCCAACTCTATAATTAATAGGGTAGTAAGGGAAAGCAGAACATCCCCTCTTGACTGCATTGCTGTAGAACAGACTATAATCAAACATAATTGGGGGATTATAATTGCATCACTTCGTGTGAGCCTCACAGATGCACATGACAAGAAAAGTCTCATTGGTATCCCCACTAGTGATTTTTAAACTGCCGCTAGTGACTTTTAACTGAGAAGAACGTGCAGGCACCACCAGGATTCCTGCAACCAGTGCTTTCAGCAGCAAACACTGGGCCACTGCTGGTAAACTGCTGCTACACAGCACTAGAACACTGATATTGCCCACTAGTCTGGCAAATGATCATCAGCTGATCTTTACAGAGACTTTAGTCCATGCCTCAGGTCAGTGCTTTCAGGCAGGTAGCAAATAGTACCCAAGGTAATTAATAGCAGGAACTCTCGGGTAAAGACTTACAGTTACATCCGCCAGTTTGAAGCACAACAGGGAGCAGAGCTACAGTTCCCAGGTAGACTTGACCATGTTATTTGCTTTTCCTCCACAATCCCAACAGTGGGAGCACAGTGATGCTCAGCCACCACCGGCATCCTGCCCTGCGAAGAACTCGCGCCCTCCCATTCACTTGAAAGCAAGCGAAGGGATGTTGGCAGTGTTTGCTCTTGGAGCATCCAAGCACTGAAATACCTTTGCCCCTGCATACTGTGGTCACTCCCTGAGGTTTGATCTGGTGGACTCATTTGCAGGGAAACTGCCTGTTGCTTTGCAGGAGTCTACCACCAAACCTGCAGCCAAAATCTGAATCTCTCTTTGGAAAAAGGAGGAACAGGCCATCTAATGAAGTGTCCATTCATCTTAACTTCTCAGATACAACCTTGGTGCGTTTCATTATCTCTTTTATTTCTCTCCATGCTAAAACATTCTTAAAGCACTTGTGATCAGCAAGCCTTCAAAAAAGCCTAAATTTTTAGAGTCTTTAGCCTAGAGCCTAGAGTCTTTAGCTGTCTGTATACACAGGACAAGGAAGTTATGCAGTTTGTGCACAAGGCCACATTTAAGGCCTGAGCAATGGTTACCTCATAAACACGTATACAGATATGCACCTGTGATTTTTTTTTTCATGAAAAAAAAAAACAGGAAACAAGGAAAATACAGACACAATTGTCTGGTATCCTGTTTGAGTGAACAGAGAAAAGAGCATTTTTGGTCTCTTCAATTCTTCCATAAGAAGAAAACAACTATTTGTACAGTAATCTATCACATACAAAGAGGAGGAGGAGGAATATATAAAATCCTGCAATTTAGCAGAACTTGTCTAACATGTCTAAATCTGCAAGGCAGCAAAAAAAATTTCGAGTAGTCCATTAAGTGAAGGGGAAAAAAAACAAACAAAAACAAACCCACCATGAACTCCTGTTCGTCAGCAACAGTGTTTAAAGGCCTTTTTAAAGAGGAGTTCTGCTAAGGTGAAGAAGGCATACTAAAAAATTGGAAAGAATATTTTTCTTGCAAGCAGCAGCATGCTAGGTTTAATCTTCCTTTACAATCTATTCCCCGCTTTGGACTTGCATCAAGGCAGGAAACTTCCTTTGCCCATTGAAACCCTCAGTGCTCTCTCTGGCTTGAGGAGCACTAAGGAGAAGACTGGCATGACAGTAAACATTAAGCAGTAAAACAACAACCAGAGATGAATAAACAATCTGTTTTCTGCACATCATGGAGATGTCATTCTGTGGGAGTATTATTTTGTGATCTTTGGAAATAATGTAGCTCACCTGCACCTGACAACAAAACAGGTTGCACAGCGGCTAGCTCTGCATGTTTTTATGCTGCATTCTAGCTAATGAAGCATTCTGATATTTAACACCTTTTTGCTTATCTACACAGGAAAGTACACGTGGCTGAGCTTGGGCCAGAGCAGCACATCTTGTACCCAAAAGGTTTCTGAAAGCAGCCAGCTGTTTGATATTACTTCATGCATACCTGCCTTTCCAAGACCTGGAGGCCAAAACAGTTCTGCCAGGCAAGCTGCGGAAGCCTTAGCATAATACAGGACTGTGTTAATAGAGCATTTTGTGCTTGCCTAATCTCTTTTTTCTTTCAACATACATTAAAGTGACTTGCACTGCTGTGAAGAGGCAACAGACAAATCAGGTTTTTAGTAAATCAAACTTTCTGCAGCTACCACAGGCAGATTTCAATTATTTTGTGGTTAGTTCATTGAAGCTAGTGCTTTCTCTGATTAACAGGACTTATTTTTAGGACTATTAAACTGCCCTATATCCTCAGATTCAGTCTTTGGCCAAAATAAGTTAATAAGGCTAAGTGTGGTTTTGGACTTCTTTTAGATATCAAGCAGGCATCAAAGCAGTTTTTAAGGAGCATTCACCAACCAGTCTTTCTCTTAATGAATACCCCAGAATACACATCAATTGGTATACCTTGTTCTCTTGAAATATCTGGCTTATACCAAAACTTGGACGTGTCCTGGACAAATTTTACAGTCACATGTTTATCAGTTGCGTTTTCTGTGAAATAAAAGGAGGAAAAAAAATTCTAAATACATATGGCCTTTTTTTGCTTCTATTTCCCATTTCTAACCATGTTAATCACTTTAAAAATTGACAGTTAAAAGGACAGTCTAGAGAAAATCCAAAGTGTCTAAGAATCAGCAAACACCACATATTGTCTAAAGCACTGCAAGCTCTCTTAAAGTTTCATTTTGACAAAGCTATAAAACATTAAAAAAATCCTTCTACCTTTATAAAACTATGTTAACTACAAAGCTTTTCAGTAGGGCCAAGTGAATACATACTGGATGACCCCAGCTACATTTTAAATGATTTTTGACACAGCTTTAGCAAAACTTCAGGCAGAAGTTAGCCTTTATTAAGAGAAGTTGGACTGCACACTGCTTGCTTGTGGCTTGACAGTGGAGGAGTAGGACTGCCCTTCACTGACATCTAGTGAAGTGTAGAAAAATCTTTGCAGTTTTGTCCTTAGAATAGATACATCTGTAGCCAATGAACTGCTGCCTCTTATTGCAAACATTCAAGTCTTCCCTGACATTTTCATTCCTTTTTTTTTTCTTTTTCTCTTCCTTCAAATTTTCACCCACCTCCCCCCAAATGCTTTTCGTAATCTCAGACAAGCTCTAATATATTGCATGTTTCTGTGATGTAAACCTACCTGGCAATGGGGAAGTGCTTAAAACTTTTGAGTAATCTGGAAGGACATTGGGGAATGGGATGCTGATGGTGCTTCCACTGTGGGGGCTAGAGAAGCCACTTGAGGAAGGTGAGATGGAGGCAAAGGAACGGTCTCCTTCAGAGGACCTCTTTTTCTCTGGAAGAGGTGGCTGAGAGGGAAGGTTCTCCCTATGATGCTGCTGAACCGTGCTGGTCTGATCATTGTGTCCAGAGGTCACTGTAAGAAAGTTGTGTGGCAAGAAGTTGTGGTCCTCTGCACTTGCCACAGATGAGCTCATGGCTTTAGGGGAAAGGCTAGAGTTGACCATCAAAGCAGATTGTTTCTCCTCTAGAGGGGAGCTGCTGCCCATTGCGCCCCCACTATAGTTGAGGTAGGCCTGAGTGCTGCTGTTGACAGCAGGTTCTTGCTGCTGCTCTGCTGGTGAGTTGTCCAGACTGCTCAGGGCCACCGCATGCAGTCCTGGTGTTTGGAAATGAGACAAGAGAGAACCATCCTGCACAAGGTTTGAAAATTCGGAGGGTACAAGGTAACTTCCTCCTGGCCTGCTGCTTCCCATGGAAAGCTGGAGTGACGAGGAAGATTTAGGGCTGCTTTCAAGCCAAGGACAATCTGTCGCAGAAGAGCTGTCAAGAAACCCAAAAACAAAAACACAAGAATAAAACAATGACCGAACCATTTCCTTAAAATCTCGGTGTGTAACTCATACTGCAATCATCACTGAAAGCAGTAAATCACCTTAGTCAAGCCAGTACCTGAGTGTGGCATTTGACGACATGGCCATGGCATTTGGTGATGGAGTTGGCTGAAGAAATTCCTGCCCACTGTGACCACCCACTGCTGCCAGGTAGCCCACTCCTTTCTGCCTCCTCTGCCAACCAGCCATGCTCATGCCACCACTTCTGAGCTTGCCCTGTAAACCAGACCATCTCGTCGATCACGGTTAAAAACACTCTTCCTCTCTTCCTCCTTCCCTTATTTTAATATGAATCAGTTCAGTGATCCTGCCCACAGCGCTGCCCCGTAGGCAGCGGTCCTGGAGATCCATATCCATGGTGAGCTGCAGGGCTAGCTGGAAAGGAGCAGTGGGAGGCAAGAATTTCTTAAGCCAAGGCTGCCATCAAAGGCATACAATAGCTGCCACAGAATTTCTTACATGTGGAATCTCACTGTGCTCGTTGTGAAAGAAAATGAAGTGAGTAATAGGCTGAGGGAATTGTGAACCATCAATAAGTAAAGATGGTAACAGCATACTCCAAAAGATACAACTTCTTGGCCAGGCCCCTTTCTAATATAATTTATATTAAAAAAGGAAGAGAGGTGGATCCAGGGGTTAATTTATGCATATGAGACAAAAAGAAAAAACACAAGACAATAGACACTACCAGAAACATTGACTTTTACTGACTTGCTTTTACTGAACTGCTTTAACTGAATTTAAATACTGTAAGAGTAGACATCAAATTCCACCTGCCCAAAGAACAGTAATAAATATCCTTCTGAGTAAAATGTGCTAAATTTCTGACCAAATCATCTTGCTCATGAAAGGGAAATGCCCTTAGAATTTGGCTGGAAAACATTACCAACAGGATCTCATGCAGGGAGGAGAAGGGGTTATGAAGAGAGACTGTGAGATTAATTTGTGTAATGTGAGACTCTTTGTGAGATACAAAGGGAAAGACCTGGCTTGAGAGAGAAAATTTAAAAAAAGATTTTTAATTCAAAGAGCACTGTGAAAATGGGTATCAGTAAATTTAAAGATATCAAAGTATAAGGACAACAAAAAAATGGAAGGAAAGCACAGGGAAGAAAATATCATTAGCAGAAAAAAGCAGCTTCAGCTATCTGCTTGATGAAATTAAAAACAACAGAAAAGGATCAGTATTTAGAAGGAAGGAAACAAATCTTTTTAGAGAAAGTTTGAAGTAGGAATGTTAACTTGATAATTACTGCATTGTTGGATGACAAAGCTCTTAACTTTATCCTTTTATAATGAAATGTTACAGACAGGTCTGTCTCAAAATATCTTATACATCTAAGATATTTTGTTCAGGGGATTATGATTCACATTCATAATCACAAAATGAAAACATCTTTTGCAGTCCAAGCACCAATGGAAGATGAAACCAGTTAGATGGGAAGAAATGGTAAAACAAATCAATATCCTTTGTTTAGATCCTTACTGAGAGTTTGACACATCAACCAATAGGATTCCTTCCAAATAGTTACTTTAAAAAAGCAGCCAATTATCCATGAACAATAGTAGGATAATTATATAAAAAAGAATGCTGAAGAGGGGATGAGTCCTTGCAGGAAGAATCTCAAAGACCAACTGTAATCATCTATTCCCCTCATCTATTCCCCTAGGAAAACCTTTCCTGAATATGTAAGTTATAACAGGAAATAGCTAATGACTATAACCACTGACTGTCATGTTCTTCTGAATCTTCTAATAGATAACTGGGATCCCCTAGCTGTTTGTTGCGTTTCCTGTTCTCAAACTCAAATTGTAAACTGCTTGGAACAGCGTGGGTGGATTTTGAAAAAATGTCTAATTTTCAAGCTCTGGTTCAGAGCCCTACAACTTTATGGCAATACAGATAGGAAATAATAAAGTCAGCTTGTTGGGCAGGTGAATGGGAGTCAGCTGTTCACCACCAAGGACAAATACCCTGTTTTTTAATTGACTACTGTATAAATGCATTTACTACAATGAGCAGAGTGCTCCCTCTCTCTAAATACTGGGATTTCTTAGGAAACAACTTACCTCCATTTGAAATTTCATAAAATACTCTGTGGTACATTAAGAAAACTGGTTAAGTACTCAGGAAAGTATGTATGAACCTTTGCTACTGTAGTGTACAGTATGTAAGAAAGTACCTTAACTATGAACTCCTCTTGAATTTTATATTGCCATTTATTTTCAGAGCTAAAAATATTTCTCGAAGATATAAGTGCTCTCTGTACATGTGGTAACTTCCAGCTGATGGTCAACATCACCATCAAATGCTACAACTAAAGTTAAAGTCCTTGACCAAACACTTTTCACTAAAAGTGCAATCCTAACATCTCTGCTGGAAATGAGAATTATGAGAACTAAACAATAGGCAGGAGAATCAGTTCCTACCTTTCTCCCCCTGGGACAGGGCTGTTATTTGAAACTGCACACGAAGATGCAAAAGCTCGCTGAAAGGAAGGATCCAGCTGCATGTTGGTCCTCAGCAGAGTAGGGTTACTGCCCATGGTGCTGTCAGACATCACAACAGAGTGGTTGTGGGCTTCTGTGTAACCACGTGATTCTGCAGCAAAGGACATAAAACAAAAGACCTGTTAAAAAAACTCCCATTTTACAGACTTTGTACTGCCTGGAAGAAATGCTTGTAAAATGACTTGTTCTCTTTCTCTTAGCTGGAGTATACAAAAGAATTTTTCCATGTTTGAGTAGTTACAATTTATTTCACAACACTACCCTGACTATGGAAAATATCCATGGGAGAACCAATAGCAGAGAGGATCAAGATTACAAAATTGCACCAAACTGTTTGATCAGTTCTCCAGGGCATGTTCTTTAGTCTGAAAGATGGGAACATATAAGTCTATTTAAAATTCTTTTGCATTCCTCAGTCCATAGTGTAAGACAGATATGTCTAATCAAGTTTCCTACATAACTGTACACATAAAAAGATCTCTTATTCAGCTAGCATGAAAGTAAATACCAAAGTTATAGGAAACTGAAATGTTAACTGTTTCTCTTGCTATAGTTGCAGAATTCTGCTCATACAAGGACAGAATTGGGGTTGAAAAGCTACTGATGAGGATGGAGAAAATATGGGTTTAATTACAGCCAGCACAGCTGGGCAAATTTCAGGTGTTCACACCATGCAGACACACACACACACACAAAACAAGAGAAAAAGGAAAAAAAAAAAAAAAGAAGTTGCTGTAAACCTTTCTTTCCCAATAACTTGCAAATAGCATTGGTGCAACTGGTTGCTAAATTAAGTCCAAACTATGTGTAATATAATTAATGGCCATAGATACTATTGGAAATAATTAAGATGTACTTGGGTGAGAAATAATGCGGATGCAATTATTAAGAAGCTTGGTAATAGAACAGTCCTTTTTTTACAGTCACATTGTTACAACTAATAAAGCTCAAATACGGATTAGATATAATCATGATTTTAAACCTACACAGTCTACAACGATACAAAAACTGTCCACAGATAAACCCAGGTTTAACTGCATGATTTTTTTTACTGCAGACAAGGCTGTGCCCTTTGATCTTGCAAATGCTTAAGCATCTGAATAGCTTCGTACACACGAATAGTTCTATTGACCTAAACTCTTGCAAGACTGGAACCTAAAAAAAGAGATCACAGATGAAACAGCACCTAATTTACTGTCTCTCGAGTGGAGGATGGAAAAAATGAGAAACGAACAAAAAAATACAGAAGAGAGCTAGGGAATGACTCCAGCTCTGAAAAAAAAAAAGTGATTTTAACACATATTTTCCATACAGAAGCCTTTTTAAAGTTGTAGAAAAGAGGATGGTTCTCACTATTTCTCTGAGCTCAACTGAAACGAGTCTAAATAAATCTTCCTTTTTCTTCAATTCACAGCAGAGCCTAGCCTGAATGGAGAGGGTGTGACATACTTAAAAGAAATGCCTGAGATAAGAAAATCTGCAAATCAGTGCTCTAAGGACTATGTGAATTCTTCACATAGCATAGATACTGTATGGACAAACCATTTAACAGGATGAGGAAAACACTAGAAAGCTAACACACTTTTAACTATAGCCATAGCTTTCTTTTAACCATACCCATACCAGCCTTTAAAACAAACTCTAAGGAAATACTACTGAAGTGCATATGGTGGGGAAGAGCTAGGAAAGTGTGAATCTGTATGTGTCTAACAGAGCGGGGGTATTACAGTCATCCTCATACTGGTGCGAACTCAGTGAGAACACAGGCCCTCTATCAATCCATGTCTTGGGCCACACTCCAACTGAAATCAGTGGCGCTTGTTTACACAAGCATTATATGATTGATGTTAAAGTCTTCAGCAATTACTTCAAAGTATGGTATACGTTACTTACATTACATACAATATATTATAGCATTATAGTAGAGTAACAATACTTTGTATAGTAGAGTAGTAATACTTTGTCTTAACTATTATCCAAAGAACTGCTGATCAGCTGTAGGCTGTTTGCTCAAACACTGCATGTCTGATAACCACTAGAGTTGCCCAAGAAATGCAACTTTCCCTAGGCTAAATGCAGATAGACCTACTGGGTACAGCATCTGTAAGACAGCTAGAGTTACAGTTTCTTCTCTGCACAAGAACCTGAGATGCCTCCTAGTTATACTGCAGCCTGGGATGACACTGCTGCTGCTGCTCTACTGGTGCGGCTACTACATTGCCTGCAGGCATGGGAATTCTGATTGGAGGCCTAATCCCATACGATCATTCACTTATGTGCTTTTGCGCCTGTTCCCTTGATATAAGACTATGTGTCACTAGGATCCAGCGACACGGAAGATGAGGGAGCAGGAGGGGAGAGGTATTCCTCACAAGATAATTTAAAAGCTTGCCCCACTCTTATGCAATCTCAACTATGCGCATAAGACCTAATCTAAAGCATTTCTACATAACAAAGACCTCTCACTCTTCCCAAACTAACAGCAGCCCTTGTTCAAAGAAATGAACCAGGACTTGTTTCTCGCTGTTTTTGGACCTTGGACTGTCTTTGTTACCTTTACAACATGGAATACCATGTGAAGGAAGGACTGCAGTCATGCGGATAGAAGTACCTTTTCTTTTTATACTGAATTTTCACGGGTATTAATGATTTATATATATAAAAGAAAGTAAAAGGCTACAGGGATTGAGGCATTTAATCTGAAAGAAAGAATGCAAACTTCTGGCCTGTTCCCAGGCCAGAAACAAGTGTATCTGAAATGCATTTCCCATGAAAGCAGCTTTGTTTATATTTCAATTAAAATATATTTCAGCTATGCCCTCTCTATTGTCTGATACTGACTCCACATCCGCCATGTCAGCTGTTAACCCTTTATCTCATGGAATCCTAAGTTTGGGCGGTCTTTCATCTTGTAGAAGATGTATGGCGAGAACTCCCACAGTATTTGTTTGCTGCAAAGTACTGACACTTCTTGCTGCAGGCACATGCTAAGTCTCATCACAGCAAAGATGACAAAACCATCTTCCAACCTGCTTTTCATGAACTTGAAGACTCCCATCAAGATCCTCTGTTACTCCTTTTGGGGAAAAGAATCTCTAAGTCACTGTTCAGCTCCCCAGAACCTCAGCTGGCTTCCCCCACACTAAGAGTAACCATACTAAAACAAGCCGAAACAACTGTACTACAAGCAGCCTTAAAGATCAATAAAAGGATAAGAAACCTCTTGTGATACTTTCAAGTTTGGCAGTCGCTTCTATTTCTTGATTCACCCTTTGATGGCTTCTTCAAGGAGAGACACAAAAATACAGCCTAATGAAAGGCTTACAAGAAGGCACACCAGATACATCTGCACAATATTCCCCATCGCAATAGCTGCATTGAGACTGCATGCGGAAACAGGTTTCCTCCACTTTGATCTTTCATTCTTCATTTACAAGCTCACAAATACATTTCTTCAGATGCATTTTCTGACATACTCATCTACATAGGCAGAACTGAGAACACTAAAGAGGATAACAGAAGAGTTACACTGGATATTCTCGGCCCACTGGAAAAGTAATTCCTTTTTTTTTTTTTTTTGAGGCAGGAGGAGGAGGGAAGTTTGTATTTCAGTAAGAGCAGTAACAAGAGCAACAACCTTTCCTACCCAGCAATAAGGACATGTTCTGTGAACTCAGTATTTGCTGTTCTCCCAAGGCTGCTCCCATTACCAGACAAGCATTCACAAGACCTTCCTCTTCCCTTTGAAAAATGTCTGAGAAAAGAGCACAATATGCTTGTGTTTAGCACATGTCCCTTTGTTCCTTGCTGTCCAGCTGGCTCCAGCTCCCACCTGGCACTGCCAAACGAACTCCACGATGCAGAGCTGAACTGCCCTGCAGAGATGGGCAGAGAGAAGGCAGTTATGAAGGTGGCTGGTTTCACCCTCTCTTTCCCACACCTGGGTAGCTGTGAGAGTTCCTAGGACAAGAGTCCTTGCTGGCACAACTGTTTTTCCTTTTTTTTTTTTTTGTCCCAGAAAACAACAGGTTAGAAGATGGCCGCTTCCCATTTCTGAGATTGATTTGGATTTCTTATTAAGCAAGTTACTCCAATATCCACCCAAATGTCTTCTGGAAAATTTAGGCTCACATCAGAGTTGAATCACAGAATCACAGAACAGTTGAGCTTGGAAGGGACCTCTAGAGATCATCTTGTCCAATCCCCCTACTCAAATAGAGACACCTAGAGCATGTTGTGCAGGATCACGTCCAGGCGGGGTTTGAGCATCTCTACAGAAGGAGACTTCATAGCCTCTCTGAGCAGCCTGTTCCACACATGAGGCATGACATATACAAAGAAATGTTGAGCAAGGACTCAATATTAGAAGAATATGCTAGTCTTTAGTCTTAAACATCACAAAAAAAATCTAAAGACACTGTGGAGGGGTTGATGCTTATCAGTATGACAAAACATACAGGATAATCTTTTTTGGCCACATTTTATGACAGAAGCTTGCTTAAAAAAGTTTATTTCTAAATCTTAGAATTATGAAAAAAAGCAGACATGTCTAAGAGTCTTGAGAACAACAGCTAATTTACTGTATTACTATTTCTTTTGTTTGAGAAGAGTTAAACACAAGTAAGCTGAAGTAAACCATTCACACTGAAAGCTAAAATTGCCTAACAAGCCCAAGCAGCAACAAAGCACCTTCCTGTTCATTGTCCTCAAAAAATGAAGTATTTCATGCTCTCCACATTTTTGACAAAACAGATTTGCTTTAGAAAATAGGTATCAGTTAAGATGCTTTCCACATAAAAACTTGTAGACTAAGACAGTATCTTTCAACGATAGCTTACTTTTCTCTCAAATTCCCCCAAAATCTCGAGCAAAGAAACACTGAGTCTGCATACAAATCTGTGAGTTTCCAAAAGTATAATTAACTGATTACATATTAAAAAAGTATTCCCTTTGCCTATGACTAATCCCAATTCCTCATAGTACTTCTTCAGTTCTATAATTTAAATGATGTAGAAAAAAAAAATTTATTTCATCTTGGACTTCAAAGTCTAAAGAATATTAAGTAGAGGAAGCTGGTGAAGGGGCTGGAGC